ATACTGAGAATAGAAATAAATTATTTAGGTACAAAACCAATTATTAGCATTTAACATAAATATGTGAAGTAATATTTACATTTTCCAGACATAGATTATTTAATGGATGCTACTATTGTTAAGCATTTCTATACAAACTCTTCTAATTGTTAAAAATCAAAACAGGAAGTCAGATTTTTAGACTTCTAGACGTCAGAAAATGCTACTAATATGACCCCATGTGTATAATATTTATCGATTGGTGATTTCTATGCAAACGTATAAAGTTGTGTATGGGAGGAGTAATAATATAGAATTGTGTCCTGGCTAAATTTCGACGTATGGTATATTTTGCTTAACTGCATTTTTTTCTTCCACTTAATTTTCCATAAACTTGCTTGGATATAGTACTTGGTGATCAGACAGCTTGTTTAGCAGTTATATTTTGTGGCTAACCCTCCTTTGAAGGGGTGTTTTAATGGCTAATAAACAAATTAACACCTTTAATTTTGTGGCATTTTTGTGTCCAAATCTGATTTAAAACTAATTAGGTATTTTTGTTTCATGAAATTAACTCAGATGTATCTGGTTCACTTTTTGAATGAAATACTTTAAATAAATTAACCTTTTAGAGATATCATCAGTGTGCACAGAATCTATGGTGGTTGATGAGAACTTATAGGCCTTTAAGCATTGAGTGTCTGTGCTAAGAGTGCAGAGTTAAGGTGCTTACCCCAGAATCAAACCTCCATCCAGCTCTGTGGAGGTGACAGGAAGAAGATGGCGAGAGCTGCTGAAAGACTGGAGGAGAGTGTGATAGGAGACGAAAGAGAGGGAGACTTATCAGTCATGCTGTCGGTCTGTGCGGCAGGTTCTGATAAGAGAGGCAGTTATAGAGCCGTGGCTGGTATCTCTCTCCCCTCTCTGTCTCTCCATCACACACTCACACAAACATACAACTGTGGGGAGAAAGAGCCTGTTGTGTTCTCCTCTGCCACCCATGAGTGAACCCAGCGCAGGTGTGCTGAGGTGAGGATTTGGACAGCGCGACAGCCATTTGTCGGCTGTTATTTTGCACCAGAGAGAGGAGAGGGAATGCAGATGGTGAGAGCTGTGCAAAAAAAAATCTACAAGGTAGAGGAGCTTCAAGCATAAAAAAAACTACAGGTTTGATTTCATTGCTGTGGTTTGGGGACAGCCTCTGACACAGAGATATGTATGTTAAAAATTACATTACTGCAGAGGTGTTGCATATAAATAAAACTACACATATTTTCAAAGTAAATATTTCAATTCAAACCAGTTACTAGAATCCCCACAGAATCATTCTGCAGCCAGCATGCCTCACTGAGGAGGTTACATATTTAAAAATGTCATCCCAGCCAATACTAAGGGTTGTTTTTCACATTATGTCCATAAAAAAACATTAAATATGTAGTTGCAATGCGAAAAATGAACAGTTTGGCTGTATGTTGCTTACTCTGAGGTACCAATACTGCAGTAAATAGCGGCTTAATCTGCTCACAGCTTTCCTTATTTCTCCCTCTCAGGTCGGCCTCCATTAGCCATGCGTTGACCCAATATTTTGAGGGTTGAAAGCTGATGGGAAAGGGGGGGGGGGGTTGTTGACAAATGGAAAAGGAGAGTATCAAATGACCCTCAGGGACTGGAAGGAGGGGGGGAACAGAAAGTAACCCACTGTTGCTTGAAGGTTTTACACGGCCTGTTTTTACTCTCCGTCTCTCCTTATCTCTAAGAAAGGGTCGAGGTGAGGTTAAGCAAAGATCACTTTTGCTCATCAAAAAGCGTTTAATCAGAGCTCTCTGGACACACATCCGTTCGACAGAACACACACTTCTGGGGCATAATCTGGCGAACATGGTTATTCAAGCATAGGCAGAGCGGGTTATCCTTAGGCTGGAGATGGGCTTAAAGCTGCAAGAAAGCAGACATTTGATTCTAGTCAAGAAGGAGGTGAGGGGGGGGGGGGGTATAGTTGACTAAAGATCCGTCCCACAACATTCTATCAAGGGCATCCGGGGTCACTGTGCCGAAAACATGAAGAACAACAGTTTCCAATACTACAAAAGCATGGAGACTGATTCCTTCCATTGTGAGAGAACAGAGTAAAAGCTCCTGTAAAACAGTTGTTGCCTCAGAAGGATTCCCATGAGTCCTGACCATTAGGAATGTACCTAGCTGTTCCAAATAAAGATGCCAGCGAGGCTACATGCAGTCATTATACAGCCAGTCCACTACATTACAAGGTAATACAAGCCACAGGCAGGGCACATGGGCCGGCCGCTGCAGAGGCCTTTCTCAGCAGATTATTTTGGGCTCACTACTGTGTCATTACACGGCTTCCCCGCTCTGTATTTAGGCCTGCTGATTGCAGGGCTCAGATTGGGCTGGGCTGAGGTGAGCTCTCTCTCTGGTGGGTTGAGGGCCCCGACATTGGTTCGGTTGTTTGATGTGTTTTCCGTGGTGAAAGGGGACCATGTGCCATGTCCCCTCCCTTTCTCACTCTTTCAAAAATGCCTCACGAATGCATTTATACCCCCCATTTCGTCTTGTTATAAGGACTTTATGTGAAGAGTACTAAGAGTGCATTAATTAAAGAAGCAGCTAATTAGGCTATTGCTTAACAGGGTGAATCTGAACAATTAGATGGAGGAAAGCCACAAAAAGTTCCACTGAAACCTTGTCTGGATGCAGCAAACATGTCGAAAAAAGTGTGCTTTTTGGTGTTAATGCAAAAAAAACCAATCCCTTCTTGTCAATCTCAAGCGTGCTCTTAGTAACCTATCTCTCTGAAACTGATCCGTGCTGAGTTCGGACCGAGCTTGGATCGGTTAACCGTGCCGAGCATTTACGACCGATTACATCACGCTAGTGTGGTTCTTGGCCTCCTAGTGGCGATCTATGGTACTACTGCTCTCTAGAGGGAATCAGGCAAATCAACATGGCAGCTCCCCTAACATTCAGGAAGTTTGGTTATAATTGTGATATTTTGTTGTTTGTGGACAGTCAGGCAAAGAAGGCATCCTTTGGTGAATTTACTTGACAGTGTCGGCTTTTGGAAAGTAGATACGACAAACAATAGTCTAATCAGGTCATAGAAACGCAGGAAACGACAGACATTGAGGTTCATCTCACTGCTAAGCAGAATCATCACTGGAAATTGTTTGGCACAGTAGGGAAGGATGTATTTTTATGAATGTTGGAAATTTCCTGATAACGGAGGCTGACTGTTAGGAGATGACGCGATCTGCTCATGCGCTCTTTATCTGAGAACTGAGCCAGAACTGAAACTGTGCCGAGCCCTACTGATTAACTAGTACTAGTTTAGCACAGTTCAGTTGTGTCTGGCGCAGTCCGCTTCAGTTTTGTGTGCCATTTACACTCAACAGTTATCTTGGTTACCGTGCTCGGACCGATCTAGGCAAGGTTTCAAAAAGGTCGTGTACATCGGGCTATAGTGGTGGCAGCCTAATGCTGTGGGGAGGTTACCTTCAGTAAAAAGCAGAACACAAAAAGCACTGCTCATAGTAAACGTTATAGCACAGACAGACCAACTAAAGATTTGTTTGCTTCGAATTATATTTATGTAACAAAATGTCCTAGTCAAAGTTTAAACCTAAATTTCCAAAAAATAAACTATAAAGACAAGCAGAAACATTCACAGCTAAAAGATGGTCTATTGATAGACTTAGACTCAAGTTTGTTTATTTTATTACTCCTTCAGGGAAATTCTGCTTCCAGTAGCTTATATAGAGTACAAAGAGTTAAATTAAGATGCCATTAAAAATAAAAAGATGATAGACAATAAAGCACAAAAGAAAAAATTGTAATGTCCTGGAATATTATTTTTCGATTCACACAAAATATTTTTGTATTTATCAAACAAATAAAAGTTCCATCCATCTTCGTACACGCTTATCCCAAGTGGGTTCGTGAGGGGTGCTGGTGCCTATCTCCAACTGTCTATGGGTGAGAGGCGGGGTACACCCTGGAGAGGTCGCCAGTCCATCACAGGGCAACACAAAGACAAACAACCATTCACACACACTCACACCTAAGGGGGACTTTCGAGAAGCCAGTTAACCTAACAATTATGTTTTTGGACTGGGAGGAAGCCGGAGTACCCGGAGAGAACCCACGCATGCTCAGGGAGAACATGCAAACTCCATGCAGAAAGATCCCAGGCCGGGAATCGAACCCAGAACCTTTTTGCTACCCCACTGCCCCACTGAGCAGCCCCAAATGAAAGTTAAACGTCTATTTCCATGAAATATGTTACGTTTCCAGCTGAGATAAAACAGCACCTGAAGAAGTTGGGGTCCCTTGTGTTACCATGACATGGATTTATCTCGGCATCATCTGTGCTAGTGTTCATATCAGTGGGATCTTTGGGGAGGCGTGCAGCGCTCTCTCTGTTTCTCTCTCTCCCCCAATAAACGGTGGATGTAGTGAGGAGGGGGATGAGGGTGTGTGTGTGTGGAGGCGGAGCCCGGCGCCGTGACTGTAACGCGATAGCTGCACGGCTCATAAGAGCGATCACTCACACACTCTGTACACACAGCTCGCAGGCAGGCAGGAGCAGGACGCACGGAGCGGAGCGGAGCGCAGGCTGGTGGAAGGAACTGAAGCGGTGCAGCATGAGCGCTCTGTCCGACAGGACTGATTCTTTTCTGTTAGTTTTCTTTATTCCCGTTTGATAGAATCTAGTTTTATTTGTTGAAACGCTGCATCTGAACCTCGGGTCGCTGCTGGAGGGTTCAGATCGCAGCAGGAGAAGCGATCCTCGTGTGCGTAAAATACGCAGGGACTGCAGGGACGGAGACACCCCGGGCAGGGAAGCCTGTGGCGGAACTTTACGGAACTTTTCCTCCAAGACGGATGTTGGCTTTGGTGCTTTTCAGCATTTCTTGCACTGAGATCATCAAAGTGGAAACGTCGGACAATTAACGCTTTATTTATTTATTTTTCATCCTTTTTTTCTGTTTTTTTCCTGATCCAAAATGGATTTTCCTTTCCCGCTGATTGGATTTTTAATAACACTGTGCCATTTAGGATGTGGAGTCAGAGGACAGACCGGTGAGTTTCAGCTACTTATTGTTTTTTACGCATAGATCACCTTTAAATTTCTACTATTAGTATTTCATCCCTTCCAAAAATTTGACAAAACATGATCTAATACAAAAGCCATGTTCCAAATTCCCGTTTTGTAAATATAATGGGATGCACAAACGGTTCTGAATCTTTTATTCTAAGTTAAATCAAATAAAACCTTTTTAGAGGTTAGGTTTTCAGGGAGGCGAGGAAAACATTTCAGACTAATCAACTGAGATGGTTTGATAAATGAGAAAATAAGGAAACAATCACACCCCACGCGCTCTAAAGCCATCAGATAGGAATATTCCGGACACTTCCCGCACGGCTCCTTGTTTTTTCCTGGGTTTCTTCTGATTGATCATCAGAAATAAATAAAAACAACAGTTCGTTAGAATAAAACGCCCTTCCAATTAGGATTTGAAAGCCTGTTTTAGTGTGAGGGCTGGACTTGATCGAAACCTGCAATTTCCCCAAGATTGGGCTGCTGGTCAAGAACCTGCGCGTAATAGTAGGATCAGGGTCCTTATTTGGGAAAAACTCTCTCTTTCCCAGCAGCTCCCGGTGTTTTTTCCAGGCTTCAATCAGAGGGGCTCACAGCTCTCCGTTTAATATTCAAAAAATGATGAGGATGCGGTCAGACCTGAGTCAGCTGGAGTCAGTTTTAGTTTAATACCCCCAAAAAAGTTCATCCATGTTCTCATTATCTCATTATGATATTTCCTTTTTCTGGAAATTTATTCCCCACAGCATAATGCTGCCATTACCAAGCTTTTTCTCGGGTTTGAAGGCTCAGATTCTCATTCAACTTAAAGTATGAGAAGGATTTAGAAGAAAATTGATGCACAAATATCAAATTTCTTTCTGCAAAAAGTAGAAAAACCTCATATTACTATACAAGTTGTGACTTTATGTTTTAGTATAGACTATAGCAACAAACTTAAAAGATCTGGTGCTTTAAATGGTCAAAGTTGAGTGAAAAATCCCTTCTTCTATCCATCCGGAGCTCCTATTGTTTCTTTTTTCTTTCCAAATCTATAAGAAGGCATAGCTTCCTGTTGTACCTACAACCTGAGCGCTCATTGCCGATCTATGATAGAATAAAGACAGGAGGTTGTAGTCAGGATTGGATGTAGGAGGATGTGAGCTCTTGGGTTAGACTCATTCCTGGTGCTCTAAACTCATGACTTTTTTTTTAAAGCATTGAAAACAGGCATACATAGACTTCAAGGTTTTTAGGTCTGAAGAAAAATGCCCGTAATGCTCCCACTTAGTTTGTTAGTTTCTGTGCACACATTACTGCAAGCAATCATTTGTACTGACTGTCATTTCCAGGAACAGCAAACATATTTAAAAACAAATCTCATCGGTTAAAATAGAGGTGGGGCTGGATGTTGTTTTCAAATAGTTGCATAGCGTTTCCATCACCAAATCTAAACACATGGAAACTTAAGAAAGAGAGAGAATTTTCAAAATTTCCCTATTATTCCAAAAAGGACTACTGCCCTGCTGAAGTAGAGCTCAGATAGTCCGAGGGTTCGTCATGCCTAGATGTGATGCCACCAGCAGAATGACACATAATGTTCGCTCACTCATCCATAAAAGTCGGATTGCTCATACGGTTGGATGTAAACAGTTCCTTTAGCCTTTTTAATCTAAAATCTAAACCAGTGTTGTTATGAAGTGGGTTTGGAGGGGATCAGGAGTGACTCATGATCCAAACATGACATTTTAAACCTTCCTTTGGGTCCATCCTCCTCTTTTTAAAGCATCTTGTTTGGAGCAGGAGTCAGCCCAACCATTTCGTCTGTAGGTGTATGTTTGTTGCACATGATCAGTGATCAGAGACAGATGTGGGTCTCTTGGCAGTCAGCGGGCAAGCAAGAAGCAGCAAGATCTCTCCCCCTCTTGCTCTCTCCTTCTCCTGCCAAGGCACTGCACCACATGTCCCTGCCTCAAGAGCCACATTACAGCCAGAGACTGACAGAGAGCAGAGTAGACAGGGGAGGCAATGGGAGAGCGTGCCGAGGGGACAGAAAGGAAGAAGAGAGCATGCGATTCACTAAACCGCAAGAAGCAACAAGCAGGAGGAGGGCTTGGGGAACAGACCAAGGGTTGGGAGGGCGGGTTGTGCTTCAAAAAGAGGGGGACTTCAAAGCATGAAGGGGTCACAGAGTCAAAATGGCACTGGACAGAGGGAACAGATCACATTCAGGGTTACGAGGCGACACCACCTACCGGGGTCGATGCAGCTAATGTGGGGGAAAATCAGATGTCTGCAGGGAGGAGGAAGATAAAAAAGAGGAATTCTGTTTCTGGCTTAGAACTGTTACCAAACCAAGGTTGCTGTATTCACATCACAAGTTCAGGCTTTTGATGGCAGACTCCTCAGAGGTTGTAGCAACTTTGTATATTTCCAGCGGGCTCTTTTTAAATGTTGTGGAGCAAACCGATGCTGGCCCGAGGCGTGTTGGATTGTCTCAAAGCTGAGAAGAAATCTAAATAGACGAAATCCATTATTGCATTTCTTTGCCTCTCTCTATCCAAAACAGAGATTTCCACTCTGCTTGTACTGTAATCACATTAGTTGGACTCAATGATACATGCATTAATTACTGCTTTCCATAAACATTAATATGCAAACCATTAAGCAGCTTATTTGCATGTTTATTGAGTGGGTGACTGTGCATCCTTTCCCTAGCTCTCTTCCAGAGGTTGATTTTTGTTTATTTAAGCTTTTATAACCGAATAAAGGGAATAATAGGAAGTTCTTTACAGAAATGACTAAATATCAACATTGATATGTTATTAGATGGATCATTCATGCAGTCTAAATAGAGTTTAACTAGTATTGTAGTTTATATTCTGGTACAACTTAAAGTAAGATATGCATGAACAGTCTGAGGAAGCCCTACAAGATGTAATTTAGTTTGTATGCCATACTTTGACTAGGCCACTCCAAATCCTTTATTGCATTTTATTTTATAAAGTGAACTCTTCAATGTATTATGGGATTATTGTCCTGCTGTATAATCCAAAATCTCTCGAGTTTAAGGAGACAAACCGATGCTTAAACATTCCCTCCTGGGATTTTCTATTAGAGCTGATTTTGCTGAATTCTATCTAAGATAGCAGGTCTTTGTGATGCAAATACATAAGAGGAACCCCGTACCATCATACTACCACCACTATGTTCGACTTCAGGGATAATGCTAAATGCTTGTTTTAAGGTAATATATAACAAGACACACATATAAATTAGTCAATGGTTCGCTCTTTAAGTAATTATGGTAGGGGAATATCCTCTGGAAAGGTTTTCTGCTATTCCTATTGAATCTCTTCAGATTTGCCTACTTCGTGTTGTTGTATGGTTTCTACTGAATTTATTTCTTTATTCTTAAGGTCTGGATGAACCCAGGCTTGGGTATAACCACTGAAATTGAACTCAGAGTTTTAAAAAATGGGGATGAATGCAATTATTTAAGAGGGTAAAAGAAAAAGAAGAAAAGCTTTCTGTTTGCATAACGCTTTTTGTATTTACTTTGGTTATCTTTATCTTTTTGTTTTATTGGAGACTGCGTGTTAAACTTGCCCAACTTAGATCCTCTTCCAGAGGGTGCAAGATATAGATAGTTTAATATTTTTGACAAAATTATCCAGCTTATTAAAAAGATTTAGGTGTCAGATATGTGAATGTTGCATTATATGTGTAATCATATCTGTTTTATTTAATTTCCTGTCATCCTGATTAGTTTGATGCTCATCTTCCTCTCTTTGCCCTTTTTTCATTCAGCCTTTGCATTTTGATCTGCTCGGCCTCGGCGTCAGCTGCAAAAAACAAGGTCACCCATTAGCATTCATAGCTGAAGACAAATGTAGCGCTTGGTTCGATACCAGTCAGGTATGGGTGTCACGGTCGGCTCACAAAGCTCCTGGAAACGTGTCGCCAAGCTCGGGGTGAAATTAAAAACAAGACCCTGATAAATAAAACAAAGCTTGCTCTTTCTGTTTGTCGCATTAACCGCATTGGGGGGGGTCTTAACTGGAGCCCTGAGACCGGCTTAGAAAAGAAGCTGTAGGGGGTCAGCTTTGTCGAAAGCCAAATTGTTTTTGAATGGATTTTGAGCTGATTTAAACACAAGGGGTTTAAGGCAGGAGCAGCTGAGTTTAGAATTTAGAAAAACAGCTTTACTGAGAAGTGCAGTTTTTCGTTTTTTCAGCAGTCAGTTCCCCTGAAAGCTCGCACTTTGTAAGGTGGAGGGCCAACAAATTAACTGAAACTCACCACAGCGTATTACCTGATTCTTCACAGCTTTCCTTCGCTTGTGTCAGCTCTGCATTTTATTCCCCCCCCCCCCCCTACCCAGATGGGAAGGAAAGCTTTTTGTGCAAAGTGCCTTATCCGTGCAATTTTGACTCACAGATTGCATAGAAGGACAAGAAGACAAGGTAGACCTCTGGATCAGAGCCCCCCCCCACTACCTCTTCCTGCAGAAACCAGCAGCCATCTGTTTTCCTCAATTGATCCATTGAAGCATTGATCAGGATGGCCAGCTCTATGCATTTAGCTGATTAGCATGGGCCACTTATCCCGTTAGAGAGGGAGGAGGAAAGAGGATTTGGGGGTTTTATCTGCCGTTGATGAGGCTCTTGTTGTTTAAGATCTTCCTTTAAACTTATTTAGCGCTGTTTACCAAAATCGCAAATGTTACATCCCTTTACTTTTACTGACTTTGGTGCAAAGTCGTACATGTGACGACTACACCCGCGTTGCTTGTGTTGCAGAAAACGCATCAGAGGCAAGAAAACTAAGTGTTTATAGTGAACTCCTTCATTTAGGGTAGGTTACTTTCATAGTGGCTCTGCAAAAAAACAACACATAATATATGGAAACGTGTATTAGTATAAATTGCTCATTCTTCACTCTTCTTCCAGCCTCTGGGACCTTGACTTATCACTGAAAGTCAGCACATCTGGTTTAAAAGCCGGATGCAATCTTTCATATCCCATTCATCCTTCTTTAATATTTTGTTAAGGCAACAGTTTAAGGGATCCATAAAGATCCTGTGCTTTTGGTCCAGTCTGAAATAAGTGAGATTAAATCCAGACTTTTACTCCTGACTGAATGGATGAGTGCTGCCCACTCGGCCCTCTTCTTCCCTCTCTCATGGTGATAGCACATTTTAATTAAGGTGGTGGTGGGCTTGGAGGGTACGGGCACGAGACGGCGGCAATGATGAAGGACTTTATCAGCCCTGCTCCTCTCTCTCGCAGCTTATCCCGGAGTGTGAAGCCATGCTTCCCTGATAAGGGGGGGCTAATAGGAATAAGAGCATGAATGTTCACGCACACAGACACAGCAGGACATGAGTGAAGACATGCAGACATATGCACATTTCTCCGATAACGGAGATAAAGAAATCATCCTGTCCAAGTGGATTGGGAGCGCCTCAAATGTGCACACATGAAAAGACTGAGTTAACTTATCTGTAAGAAATTAGTTTGGACAGCCGCTTTAGAAGCATAAACAAGTTAGCCATCCTGTTAGATTTTACTTTCATTCAGATGAGGACAGTAACGTCGCTGCTCTGGAGAGATAGGGTTTTGGTGGCTGCATGGAAGGGACATATGCAGCACGTGTGCGCACACAGAGACAGATGGACTTCTCTACAAGACGAGACAGTGTAATTCATGAGGCTCGCTGACAGCTTCTGAGTGCTTGGCCACAAGTCGTTCCCACCAAAACACTCAAACGCACGCGTGTTACCAGAGTGCCTCTTTATGCTTACTTAGTGTAAAATATGAACAAGAAATTAAAAGAGCAAGCACTCATCTATTGATATTTATCGTTGCTTGACCGCTAGCTAAAGATGCATTATGATGCCAAAACCAGTCGGATACTATTCTTAGTGAGGGTTTATTCTGCTATGACAGGGTTAGGAGTTTATAAGTGTCTTAATGATGAATCTCTGACTATTCTCTCTTACTTGAATATGTGCGGTCAGACTCTGATGTTGGTCAGGTCTCCAAAAAGTTCCCTTAAAGCTAGGTGCTTAAAAACGTCCAGAATGCCTTGCCAAGACAAGAGTGGTCCTCTAATTTTCAATCCTTAACTGGTTCTTTGGTTTGCAAACAGGAAGATTATTTAATCAAAAACTACACTGCTTTGTACTCCAGTAGTGCTGCTTTACACCAGTGCATCCAAAGCTTTTGCATGGCTTGGATGCAGCTGTATGCAGTCTGTAAGGCTGCAGCTATTTGCTTGTCATCCAGCTTAGCATGGGCTCATCTTCCTCTCTGACCAGCCCCGTGTGGCGGAGTCGCCACCGTTTAGTAAAAATGTGAGCGCAGAATAATGAGCTCTGATGAAATGTAATGTTTGGACTTGCAGCACAGTTGGTACCCTGCTGGAACCCACTGAACACAGAGGAAACGACCTGTTTCTTAAGCAATGTTTGTAGAAGCCGTCTGCAAACCTTGGTGGATTTTATACAAGGTGATTGGAACAGGTTTTGTCAATATAGTGTATATTGTGGCAGTTTCGTAGTTAGTGTGTGTGTGAGCCGACTGACAGAGGTTTCACAGAGGGGTCAGTGTCTACAGGGAACCGCCACAGCGCAGGCATGTCTTAATGAGGCTCGTCAGGTTCTCTGCACCCACCTTACCCTCTGAATTTCTCCTTCCTCATCACCTTTTCCTCTCCACATCTGTCACTCACCCATCCTCTCCTATGCTCTCCCCCCTCATAAATCAACCCTCCTCCCCTCTCCGATCAATCCCCGTCTCCCTTTTTCTGCCTCAATCCGTCTTTTATCCGTCTCTCCTTACTCATCTCCCTCTTCCTCCCTTTCATCCCCTCTCTCTCTCTTCTCTCCACTGTAATCCCTTTCTCTCCACTCTCCATCTTTCTCCCCACCTTCCTTGGAGGCCGTTCAATGGGCAGCTCAGACACAAAAAAAAAAAAAAAGTGTTGAGGCTGCAGGATTTCTCCCCGAAGGGCTTAATCTGCTGAGGCTCTGTGCGCCGATAGCCTTCTGCACACCGTTCCCTCCATAGGCTTCTCAACAATGACCGTCTGTCTGCACAGTCACAGCAGATAAAGCCATGTCTGTGTGCACATGTGAGGCTTCCTGCCTGTCTCGGTCATTCTCTTTCCATTCCCACTATCTTTCTGAACATTTTCTGCTTGCTGATTTTCACCTGGTCCAGGTGATTGACATGCCCTCAAAGGTGCCATCAGTCGTGGGTGTGCATTTGAACGCGCAGCAGCAGCGGCAGCTGGGTGTGTGATTCAGCGTGCATTTGGAGCCGATCTTCTCGCAGTGTGCTCCCACTTCTGTGGGTAGCCCGAGTCACACACTCGCATGAAATCACCGGCAGCTGCAAGGGGCTGATGCGCCAGCGTGGGCGTCACTCCTCTCCGGTAACAAAGTAAGGAAGCCATAGCAGCTCTGTCAAATGTCAGCGAATCTTAAGTGTGCCTTTTAAGCACAATAGGCAGTGAAAATGTCAACACTTGAAGGGTCTATTACACTTCAAGCCTTTGGTGCCTTGTATTTTTCTTTTTTCCTTTTTCTTTTTCCCAACTGTTCACAGAAATCTTAAAGAAACAGGCAGAAAAAAAGAAAATAAAGTAATTCAACCTATTTATGTCAAGAGCAGAGTGGATTCAGAGGCTGAGTGGTTAAATCTAGAGGTAGGCGGCCGCATTTTTAATGCAACTACAGTGTTTGACAATTAGTTCAAGAGCCAGGACTGCAACAATTTGCCTTCACTTCAAAGGGAGGAGAAAATGAGGGGAAAACATGTATAGAAAGCTTGAGCTTTATCAGGGAGAGTCTTATGGTAGATAGGGGTCATTAGGAGAGGAATATGGGGGGATAAGTGGCATGAAATGGGATCATAAAGGCAGGTCAGGAAGAAAAAGAGGATGATGGGTAGTTTTGAGATTGTAGAAAAAAATGAAAAGAGGAATATATGTGTGAGGGGATAAATGGAGATCAGTATAGAAGAATGAATGAATGAATCTGCCATCTGTTGGCTCTCCTATGTATTAAAAGTCTGGTTGAGATGTAGCCTTACACCTTAACCCATACTTTAAACATTAGCTACTTTTTGGTGCCAGATTAATTTTGTCTGATTTCTTGTTTTCCTTCCTTATCAAACCACTGAACAGCATCTGTATAATAATGTGGCGGTGTTTGAGTTCAATATAAAGTTCATTAGATTTACAGTTCCCACTGGAGCGTGCAGCCATATAACACCGTTAGCTACAATAAAACCAGCTCCTGCTGTTGTCATGGAGAAGATGTTCCCAGCTATAATAAATGCAATAAAGCATCCACCATGCACAGAAGCAAAGCGTCCTTTTGGAAGTGCAGAATGCTGGTTATACATGTTGCCTTTGTCATGTGTGTGGGTTTATGTTTGTGGGAGATAAAGCCAAGAGTGAAAGCTGCTATGGCTGTCAGGGTGTGAGCATAGTGGGGTCTTTGTTGCAGCGTTAGCTTCTGGTTACAGAATGGGGTGACCCCGCTAGACGGCCCGTTAGTGTGCCACTTCCTCCTCGAGCCGTCCGAGTGACGCTATTGGCAGGCTATTGTTCCTGGGAGAGAGCGATAGGATCGGGGAATGTGTCCTAATGTTTGCAGATTGGCTCGCTGGAGCAACAATTACACTTGGAGGAACGCTCCCTGAGGAGAAGGATGGAGATAAGAGGCTGGGCGTGGAAAGGCTGTGTTTCCTCACTTGTGTCTGTGGGTGTCTGGATATTCAACAAATGCATAATGTTTAATTGTTTTAATAGTGCATTGAAAGTCCACAATATAGTTTTTTTTTATATTTCTTCTAAATGGAAGGCCTAAATTGTTTTTGTTCTGTTTGTATCGCACAGTGAAGATGGAAGGTTAACCTTTATGTTGACTCACCAGCATCTGTTTGTGCTCCCTTGCTCCTACAGATTCAGAATGTGGAGGTATCCTGGATGCCAGTAAGCCCGGTTACATCACCTCCCCCGGTTACCCAACGGAGTACCCCCCTCATCAGAACTGCCACTGGGTCATCCAAGCGCCTGAGCCCTCGCAGCGCATCGTCCTCAACTTCAACCCTCACTTTGAGATCGAGAGGCTCGACTGCAAGTAAGATCAGGAGATATCTTCGCTCTAAAGTCCCTTTTCCTAAAGTTGGATTTCTCCTCTGCAAGTGGTCAGAATCACATGTATCTCAAGACATTTCCTTTAAAAGCTCCTTTTACTAAAAAGCAATTTATGTTGGAAGCTGATCTAAAATACTCCTTAAATGCACTGCAAAAAATATGAATCTAAGTAAGTAATTTTTTCCTTAAAATAAGTGCATTTTTTCTGGAATTGAGGAGGTAAGTGAGATACTGGAACAAGGCAATTTACATTAAAATAAGAAAAAACAACTGCAGTCTCTTATTTCTTGTGCATAATATCTAATTATCTTATTTTAAAGGTAAAAATGCTCATTCAATTGGCAATTCATCTTATTTTAAATACTATATTTTTTACTGTTTTTGCAGAGTGCAGACTTTAAATGTTTAGATGTATAAAAAAGTACTGCAGGGTCTAGTTTTTAACATAGTTTCTGTTAAAATCTAAATGATTGACACCTGAAACCTGCACACATTGCACGAAACATGCAGCAATATCAGTTGCTATATTATCGCCTCTCTATGAAAACATCAGCACTTAAAGGCGGACTCCGGTTCAATCGAACCTTTTAAAGCCAATTTCCTCAAGTCCGACAGACAGTCTCTTAGAAAAAAAAAAAATAAGAACATGAAGACTAGAGAGCAGAATGGCAGCTTTGTGACAACCAGTTCTCAAAGAGACCATTCCCCTGCAGAAACAATGAAATACAAAAGTCATGCTGAAGAGACACACTTATTAAACTTGGACTTCTAAGTAAGTTACTTGCCCCTAAAATTGCTTTATTGAAAGCTTGATTCCAAACACAATCCTTTGTTTATTGAATTTAATTCTATTATATTTGTGATGTTTTACTAATAAACTTTCCAGTTATCAGGATGTTCACTTGTAAAATTCCGATTCAAGAAAATAAAAGCACAAAACTAAACTCAATTACGGTATAAAATGTTGATTAATTGAGTCCAGTTAGTAAAAAAGTTATAAAAGACATAAAAAATTTTCGATTATTTTAGTACTAGGACTAGAGATTATGCTAAAGCAATACAAGTTTCTCTGGTTATTTGGAGAGTTGGATAATGCTGCCCTTCCCCCACCTATTACTACAGAAAGATTGGAAATATTTCTGGAAGTGAAACATATATAATTATCATGTGAATTATTACATTCTTAAAAATTGAAGTTACAGCTACAAGCAGTAAATGGATTAAAGGATGACTACCTATGCAAGGCCTTATGAGTTTTTTAGCTAATGTCAGGTTTTCACATGACAACGTGTGGTATGCTGAATGAATCCCTTTAGCATGCAGTGATTATGTGATGCATTTTGCATTTTTGTTTTAATTTTTTCACAAATTATGTGTAAAATCCAGGGTCATCAAAACCTCTTTAGACCCTCCTCATCATTTAGCCCATTTTGGGGTTCTTAAAGAACTCTCCTCAGAAATCAGCAGATACAATTCTTTATTAAAGGGCATAGAAGTTACAGAAGAAAAAACTGTTTGAGAAAATGAAAATGTCTCTCATTCTAGCTGAGAAGAGGAATAAAGCAGTCAAATATCTCTTTGGGGGCATTTTGGTCAATATCTGTTAAATGTACTTACATTCGGGGGAGCAAAATGGGGAAACTTTGAAGACTTTTTGATATTTTCGAGACTATAAACACTAGACGCCCCCTCTCTCCATCTGATAATCAAATACCAGTAGGCTTTTGAAATCTATGCAGCTGAATTTGGGCATGCAGGGCAGTTGGAGGGAAGAAAACCACAACGGGATCAAAGAGAAGAGTCATGGTGTATGGTGTGACCAGAGAAGAAGAATAAACAGGAAAAAAAATGAGAGAAAAGTAAATGAAACCCAGCTGTTTATCTGGATAAAGCCAAGCTGGTCAGTCTCCTGTATCTGAGATGTGAATAATCAAAAACATATGGCTTTGCATTGTCTTTGACCTCGAAGGAAATCACTGTCTCCTCCTCCTGATCCCATTTTAAACAACCAGGAGAATATTTCCCATCACACCCAGTTTTTGTTTGGATTCATTCTGCACAATCAACACAGGCTTCCTGATTATTTGCTTCCCTTGAAATTTAGGATCCAATAATCCCTGATGGCTGCTGTGGCATTGTTCTCTGACAAAGATGGCCGGGAGAACACTTTTACTGCCACAAGCACGTCAGTCGCTCCATCAGTAAAAGGGGCATGCTTAATGATTGTCAGCTCTTTTCATTCGGCTGTATCACATTGGAGCACTGAACTGAAAGTCTTGTTTTGATGCTAGCGCTTTGTGTTCTAAGATGTTTCTGTCGGCTCCCATCAGAAGGCAGAAATGGGATGTAATTATCTCTTTTGCCAATATGTTAACACCAGCGTTGCAGCGCAATTGGCGCAAACTCAACAGACTTCCAGCAGATAAGGAGTTTCTCACAGCCTGAAGTGGTGCGAGGCGGAGAGGAGCCTCTTTCCTCTCCACAGACAGTTTTATTGGGATCGTTTTTTTCCTTTTTCAACACTCGCCTGGAGGGTTGGAGGCCTCTGCCTGCCCTCTAACACACACTCCCACTCAGACGCCCTGCTTCCTGCGCGACTGCACTGAGGATGAGTTACTATGCATAGGTGGGTGGGGATTTTCAAGTGAGCAACACTGCCAGCATGTTGGTTCGCAAGATTAGCAGCTCTGCTCCCTGTTTTTCTGCATGTATCTACTACCATGAGAAATTCCCCTTACAAAAACATTGAATCACAACAACATTTATCTACGCGTGACCTCTAGCTCTGCTCTACTGCAGTTAAAAAGAAGATGCGTTACTCCTTCCAGGCATTAAAATAACCACAGAGATATTTCTGTTCTCTTCATTCTGTGTAATGCTTTCTGCAAGGCTTGATATGAGCCTTGTAGCTCCTTTGCAGGTTCCTTTCCCTTTTTACTGCCTGTACGATTAGGCATGACGGTGTGAGCGGGCAAGCAGAGAGCAGGCTTTTTGCATGTTTTCACGGTCCTCCATGAGGACAGCCAGTGGGCCACCTGAGGAGAGGAATGCTGATGATGATGGAAAAGTCAATAAGTTTGAATATAGATCCTTGCAAAAGTATTTGTGTTACGTTGACCGCACACCTACAGCCAAAAACAGGGGAAAAAACATTTTGAAATTAACACCTAATAGTCCAGCATGCAATTTTATGTCATCCATAATAGCTGCAAACCTCCCTTAGCATCTATCCTTATATTTCTTTACAAAATAACTCATATTGGATGGAGAACAGCTGACTTTATTTATGTTTTCCTTATTAACCAGGGCATTGTAACATATGAATTTACTTTTATGTTGTTCTGCAAGAAGGTGGACCTTCAACTTGCTTCCAAGACTGTCCCAGCTTAACAGCATTCCCACAGCATGATGCTGCCACCTCCTTGTGTCATCGTGAGGGTATTACAATTAGTATTCGATTCATGAGTCTTTCACCATACTTGGCTAGTTGTGGGTAAGCCAAAAACTCTTCCATGCTGCTTTAGGTAGCTTTAAGCAGTACTTCTTTCTCTGAGATGTTGTTTTCTCTGCTTAAAGCCCGGATTTGTGTAGTGCATGATTAAAAGCCTACAAATTCAGCCTTGCCTTCAAAGAACAGCTGAATTTTTACAGACTCTAGTTGCTGATTAGTTGACAACTGAAGGTACGTTTTTTTTAGGGGTTCAGAAATGGAGAGGGAATGCCATTCCAAGCGGCAATATGTTTTGCTTCCTTAAAAACACATAGGCATGCCTAAAGATGTAGTATAAAAGTGCTCATCAGCCATCATAGCCCCTCCCAGGGCACTTTAGGCTCTCATAACAAGCAAGAAAAACCTGCTTGCTCAGCCCATGCATGTGCTCTGAATCCCCTGCCAGCTGGTGATTTCTCCACCGTCCGGTAGGTATAGGCAGTCAGCACTCGCACGCGGCCAAAGACAGCCGCTTTACTGCAGCAATCAAATCGGCAGCCTCGTGCAGGCGCTTCGTGTCTGAGGTGGCACTTTAATACAGGATTTCATTTCAGGGGGAGTCCGGCCATGTGCCAAATAGCTCTTACCTCCAGGCTGCCAGCCGATTGATGTGAACTAAATGTAATAAAGGCTAGATGAAATATCAGGCCCATATCTCTAATGCAATCTGCCATCACTGAGCCCCAGGATGCTACCTAGTGATATACCAGGAGCTGCTGAGGAAGGGAGAGAGAGCTCTAGGTGGAGACGATTCCTTCTTGTTTTCCTGTTTCTCTCCTGCTTCATTTCTATTTTCGTTCTTCCTCCTCTTTCAGTCTGTCTAGTTTCCTTTCCTCCGATTCCGTCTCTCCACTAGCCCAAGGAGAATCTGTTTTAATTTCGCACGGTCAAATTAAACAGTGAAACGGGCACAGATGCACTCGAGAAGATCATTTCTTCCACCTTTGAGGGTTTTATTTTCTCTTTTATTTGGTTATTTGTTATTGAACTCTGCCTGCGGGGATAAGGTTTTTATGATATAGCTTCATAACGTCAAATGCACACTCTCCCACGTACATAAAGCTGTTATTCCACACATTGCTTTCACATGACAGGTAGCTGCGTTTGTAGGATAGGGGGTGTTTCTTTGTACTGTATCGCTCTCCAACTGGTACCTAGAGGGGGATCGATTTCTGTATTCTGCTTGTAATGGGAAATCTATAGATGATCAGCAATTGCCTGAAGCAAAAGGTGGCCAGGAAGAGAAGGAGGAGCACAGTTCAGGGCGAAATGAGAGACAAATGAGTTCCAAAAGGTCACGGCTGAGGGGAGTTGTTCAGGATTGGATTTATCGATGTTTGGCACTTGGCCGACTTTTAGGACGAGATCATGGTCATCAACCTTCTGGAGTCATGGCGGTTTCAAGCAATGGATGATGATGATGATGAAATATCTGTGGAGATCAATCGGTCATGTTCCCACTGAGAAACTGAGCTTTGGGTGAACATAAGAAA